GGCGAGGCCCCTCTTCTCTCTCGGGTTGACAAAGCTCGAGGCGACGAAAAGGTCTAGGTCGAACCTTGGAGGGATGGGGCCAGAGACGCGCAGGATAAGGTTGATAGGAGCTGATCATTGGAGCATGGCCGTCGAGACGCTGTCGCCACGCGCGGTGGTCATACCGAAAGAGGTAAGGGTCGACAGGTATGATGTGTTGGATTGGGCAGAATCGAGTCGATGATGGATGACGGGAGTATCTGGGCTTGATGCATTTGGGACAATGTTCAAGGGTGAAAAGGAGGGGAACTGGTAAGAAACCATGATGAGAAGTCGAAGGGGGTGAATTCGTCGTAGAGAGGCCCCACCACGTGGGCGATTCAGCGGTTCTGATTGGGGCACGAGATCTGGGGATCTGAGCAACAGGCCAATGGAGTGACCCAGGTCGACCACGTTTCGACTCGAGCTCGTCTTGGCCTCCGCAACTGCCACCGTTCCCACGCGCCAAGCCTTTTCCTCTGCTTCCTAACCTCCACTCCTCCACTCCTCCAGCGTCCACCCCTCCCCTCCTCCCGCCTCCCAGCCCACCAACGGCACAACCTCAGCACCCGCAGCTGGGCCGGACTGTGCTTCAGCGCTCGCCAGACCATGGAGGCCATGCATGCTATCCCATGAAAAACCCTTCGGCGATGCGATGGATCGAGCAGGAGCAGGAGCTAGCCCTGGCTCCGCTCCAACGCCAATCCAATGCGCAGCAGAAGTCCAAGGGCGTGCCTCCCACCTGCCTGGTCTGCCGAGCCCTGGGCGTCCCTCGTCCCGCCAGCTTCGATCATATAAAGATGATCCCTCCAATCTTGGCCGCCTTCTCAGATCTCTTGGTCTTCACTTGGCACACTCCAACCCAGTCAATCAGTCGCAACCTCGACACCACGACCTCTGCAGAGATCTCTGGGCATTTCTCGGCAGCCCTTCTTGGCTTTTCCTCCTGACCACACCACGAGGCCTTTGACAACACCCTGCCATTGACTTGATCAACCAAGTACCAAGATCACCGCCAAGATGGTTCTTCACGAGTACACCTACGTCTTCGCCATCGGCACGTGCTTCGCCCTGCTCGAGGCCTACAACAACGGTGCCAGTAAGTGAAACCTGCCTGCTGTGTGCACAGCAGCTGTGCCATCCAAACAGGCAGAGCGCTAACGAGCTACTCTCAAGACGATGTCGCCAACGCTTGGGCGACCTCCGTGTCGTCCCGTTCCGTCACCTACTCGCCAGGCCATGCTCCTGTGGTCTCGTCTTTGAGATGACCGGGGCCCTGGCTGTCGGCGCCCGCACTGCCTCGAACATCAGGACCGTTTCATCCCCATCGAGGG